TCCACGATACTCTTGTTCGGGGGTTTCTTCGTAATGTACTACAACACATTAAAACTTTGATTTTGATTCCGGAGTCCTACTGAATTCTGAACTTGTACCAGTAAAAACAAAACGCATTGTACTAATTTTTTTTACATTTTTTAGGGCTAGGGCTAAAAAAAGAGGGCTAAGGCTAGGAAAACTGTCTTAGTGCACTAAGCCGAGGCTAGGGGCTAGGCACTAAGCCTAGCCCTGTAGAGATTATTATACCCTTGGAAATTGACAGTCTTCTCTCAAATCTGGCAACAGAGTGGGCAGGGCGCAGTGTCTAATTGTAGCAGTAAGCTAACGAGTACTGATAAGCTTTATTTTGTTTTGATCCAATGCTGCACAACTGAACTGATCCAATGCTGCTGTGAAAGAAAGAAGCTATATCCATGTTGGATAGAATATCCAATTTAAATAAAAAAATTACCTTAAGGGACAACTTGAATGCTTTTTTCTTTTTTTTCTCAATGCATTGCATAAAGATCGGATCGGGAAAAATCTGTATCGGCAAATTGTCAAAATCAAATGATCGGAATCGGATCGGGAGCAAAAAAAGGTGATCGGGACATCCCTACCTATTATACTGTTTTTCATCAATATATTACAGGTCTCAGATATATACAGAACATGTCTCTGAAGTGTTTGGCTCCAAATACCAAACAGATCATTGCAGCATTACCCATAATCCCCTCTGTTTCAGCCCTGTTTCAAAAGTGCTAATTCTCTGTTTATTACTTTAGATGAAAATAAGGAGCCCCTCCCCACGCCCCTCTGAGAGATATTTGGTTAAAAAGAACACAATAGCCGCTTTCACACCAAGTACTCTGCCGTACTTAGTGCCGGCACTTAGTGCCCCGAACTCTTTAGTCCCTGAACCTGTCCGAATAGATCGCGTTCACACTGGAATAAGTCCCTGAGGGAGGATTACGCAAATGAAGCCGCTGATGTCACTTCTTCTTCTGCTTTGAGTTTACTGGCAGGCCGCAAACAACTTCAAGGCGTATACTGCCACCCGAAGTCCCGGAGTCCCCCGGAGTTGGGGAATGGCTTCAGTAGAAGCTGCTGGGTCACGTCTTCCGAGTAAATCGCCAGAAGCGCCGACACCTCCTTATCACTCCACCGCTCCCATGTTTTATTTTGTGTTGCCATGAGTTAGTCTCTCTCCGTTGGTGCGCTGGGCTAATGCTAATTATGCTAATGAGAGCAAATGAAATGGCGGCTTCACAAAACTTTTCTGAGTTTTACGGGGCGTGGTTTGCAATTCGCCCAGCCAATCAGAAATTGTTAGTGTGGCCGACACACCCACGAACCATGTCTTCCCCAGGAAAGTACCTACTCTCTAGCAAGGACTATCTGGGGGTGAAAAGGTTAGCAAGAACTAGCGACTAGTTCCAGATCTTTTTGGTGTGAAAGCAAAATCCCAAGAGCTATCGGCCTAGTTCTTGGGAAAAGTACTCCGGTGTGAAAGCGCCTAATGGTGCTCTAGGAGGAGATTCAGGTGATAAGGTGGGGGTGGGGGGG